TCATGTTGACGTCAGAAAATATCCATCATATCTGTCCGGACTGATGCGTTTCCATTCGAAACGGATACTTTTTGATGTGTTTTCGCCTATCAGTGTACACTAAAACGCCCGAAAACGCTGATGGAAGCGACAGTATCTGACGCTTTTGAACTGTCCGCACTATAAACGGAGCGTTTTCAAAACACTCCACTTTCGAAACCGTTTTCAAAAGCTTTCGTTTTCATCAGCGTTTTTGGGCGTTGTAGTGTGTACGGAAGGCGAAAACGCATCAGAGAGTATGCGTTTTTAAACGAAAACGCATTAATGTCGTCGGGCCCAAGAAGTATGCCAACTGTGTTGGCTCCCTCGATTTTAGGCCTCTCAGCCAAGATTGCCTTTGGGGATCTTGCGCGTCATTCTTATCCTTGCTATCTCAGTATCAACTCATATCCAACGTGAGCTCATGGAATAACCTGGTTAATTACTGAATTCTCATCCACGCATCCTTCTGATTCGTTCACTGAGTCTCGGTTACCACCTTATATGGAAAATGAGTGCGACATGTCGTTTTAACTTTTTGGCCAAATTAGTTCCCTCGGAAAATTAAAGACTGCTGAAATCAGCAGATTGACAAAAATCTACAGGATTAGAAGATCCAAAACCGAACCAATTTCGCTTGAAAAGTGAAATCAGATTTTCAGTATAAAATAAAGCTTAACTCGCCAGTTAAGTTTCTTACCTTACATTTGGGTCGTGTCCTTTTATACTTCAGTCAGCTGGCCACAATAGTAGTCTTTCTATACTATACCAGCTTGCAGAAGAAGCACAATTTTCAGCAAGGCTATTCTATCTGATCTTCCTGCCAACCTCCCTCGTTTGTCACAGAATATAGATTAATTTAAAATAGATATCGCAAGAAAACTCTGTCTCGCCTTCCTGACATTACTTCAAATTCAAAAATTTAGAGCAGACAGTCTCCAAACACGTGCGACAAATCTTCCCGCCTTTTCATACCTTTACTTCGTTTAGTACAAACTGAAATGTCCTCATTAGGCCAGGTTACTAAGGAGCAATAAAATGGCGGAGAAAGAAGAATTATAAGAACTTTAATCGTGCTCTTTCTAGCTGCAAATGATGTTAAGGTTCTGGAGATCTGGAGTATTTCCGGCTTTCAAGCAGATATTGTTGCTAGAGAATCAGCCTTTTCCTCGTCAAAGGTCCACGTTTACGATAACTACTCGCGCAGTTACTAGGAACCTGTCTTCTTTTCGAGGTTAGCTTACAAAGTGCTTTGTAAGGCTGTAGGGGTTTCTGATTACAAGTGATGATTTCATTTTGTCGTGCGTCTGTTTAGTTTTTGATGCACAAGTGAAAGTGAAGTTAAGACGCATTATTATTAGCCCAATAAATTTTTTCGTTTTAGAAAGGAAGAGATTTTACAAAAAAGCTGGAATAGAAGAAACTGAAGGTGAGGAAAATTGTTCAAAGCATGTTGTAAGTACAGAACCCACGGTTCTGTTGCAGCTCTATTTTGAAAGGGAACAGATGCTTGTCTTCTTATTTAATATCTAAACTGCAGTTTTTTTGTACCCCTTACGGCTAAAGGTGTTCAGGAGTAGTCTGGGAGCAGGCTGTGAGCAGGCTCACCTTTGAGTCACATGTGCGAGCGGCGAAGAGCAAAGCGATCTGGCGGGAAGGAATCTGGTGAAGAGTCTCGTCTCGCGGCTTCACCGCTCAATTTCGCACTCATGGCTACGCCGTGCACGCTTGTGCTCCAATGTGACCCTGCTCGCAGGCTATTTAGGAGTAAACAGCAATGTTTTTACACCCCCAGGTATCTTAAAGGTTGTACATGAAGAAATAGTAATAGTAAATGAAGCTGTCATCATGTGTTAATGGTTAGCCGTTCTGGCGTGAAAATGATAGTCAAGTTGCTTTTATTTTTGTGTCTGTTTACAGTGAAACTTGTATTAAGCGGACACCCTTGGGACCCTCACTAGTGTCTGCTTAATACAGGGTGTCCACTCTAAACAGGTTCTAAAATATTGTACAATGATAGTTAATTATTAACCCTTTTGTAACACACTGTAGCACAGTGTAAGATCAAAGACTGCTCATAGCACAATGTCCAGTCAGTCAATGAATCAATCTGGAATAATCTACTTAGCTATAAAATGACATTGCTGAGCAATGGTTAAGGAGTTTGAGCTGAGCTTTTAGAAGTAAAAAACCCTTGAAGTGTCCGCTTATTGCATGTTTTGTGCAACAAAATGGCTTAATATTGGTGTCCATGTCTGCTTAACAGAGGTGTCCTCTGAATGCAGGTCTATTTTACTGTAAATGTGGGAAGAATATTTTGGGACTCAAGCTGGTGTCCGCTTAATATGGGGTCCGCTTAATACAGGTTTCACTGGAATCATAATTTGTGCCTCATACTGTTGAACCTTCTCATGTACTTTCAAATGAAACTTATTTTAAAGGTGGTTATCAGATTACAGTGGACAGCAAAAAGGTGAAAACACCAGCAGGAAAACCTTTAGTTGTTCCCAACAAAACCCTGGCCATGGCAGTATCTGTAGAGTGGAATTCACAGGTTGAAACCATCAAACCAGCAAACATGCATCTGGTATGTACATAAGTTACATTGAAACAGAAATGTGTATGTTATATTTGTATACACTGACTTGGTTAAAAAAAAAGGGGATATTTCCAGAAAGGAAGGAGGCAATCTCCAGACCATGTACATACATGTGGGATGTGTGCCTGGACCCTAATACCTTACTCAGTCATCCTAACTTATTATTGTTGTGACAGTCATTGTGATGCTTTAGACATTTTTTGAGCTGCTTCATGAGGATTTTTACTATTTATATACAGTGACCTGATTAGGCTAATGAGCCCATGTAATCTGGAGTCCTGCGCACTGACCATTACAAGTGTAGGTTGCTGCAGAGCACTCATGAGGAGTTGTAACCAGTTGTTCTAATAAAAGAAATTTATTGTTCCTTTTTGCTCTACTGTTTGCTGAAGAGTATAATAGTGATTTTGCTCTCATGGAACCTGGTAAAACAATGTTAAAGTACCCAAACAAATTGCATAAT